GTTTAGAGTTCATAAATTTTTTTATTTAAAAAAACAAATTCCATATGCAATTAAAATACAAATCATAAATTAAATTGAAAGGCAGCAGAAGAAAAAATGTTATATTTGCCCCTTTTCTTGAATATATAACTTCAAACAAAAATAGTTTTCAAATAACAAAACAAACAAAAAAGAAAAACAAAGTTTTAACTCCTTCTTGAACAATTCGTATAAATAGTACGGCTGCCACCATTAGTCGACTAGTCACGATTATTGTCAACTATTAAAAACCTTGATGATTTAATAGTTGATATGTCACTTTTTTTAAACTGCTGCGTCTGCCTTTCTGTCCTTGACTCACATGTGCAGCAGTGGTAATTAGGGCTGCCACAAACGACTATTCTTATAGTTGGCTAATCTGTGATTAGTCGACTATAAAAAATAATACAAAGTTAGAAAAAAATGATGCATCAACTATTAAATTAGTTGTTGACTATTTTAATAGTTGACATAATCGTGACTAGTCGACTAATCGTGGCAGCCCTAATAAATATACATTATACCATTTCATTTTTCTCCAACAGATTAACCTTTATCATTCTCTTAAATATACCCATTGATCTGGCATTTTTAACTTCATTCAGATTATTCCTAATTTGAGCCAAATATGTTTAAATAATAGCTTAGTTATGGTTAATTTTGCATTTTAGCCATGGCAGCCATCTTGGATTTTTGATTTYGATTCAGTATGTGATGAAGACCRTTCTTAGCTACCAACACACCAAATGTTAGCAAAAAGTGTTTTAAAATGGGCGAGTTATTGCAGTTTCAATGCGGAGCTGTCTCGGCCACTCAAGCTCTTCCCATTTTGGTTGTGAATGTCTAAAACCTGATATATACACAGTGTACTGACTACAACAAAAAAAAAAATCTCATCTGAGGCTACAACTATGAACGTCCAGGTTTAACTACACTGAAGGTAAAAAACTTTAAATGCTCCGAATCTGCCTATCTTCATTTCTAAAGTGTAGACCTTTAAAATAAATCAGAAATGTTGAGACAACATTAAGATAGGTTCAAAGTAGGATGAGCTGCTGGACGAGCAACAAAACATTCTGCACGGCCTAAAATAATATTCTGCAATCTGTGCACACAAGAAGAGAAAAATTTTCAAAATTTGAGGAGGAGAGGAGAGGAGAGCATACTCACATCTACAGTTATATCAATAACCCACTGTGGGACTGTCTCGTTCAGCAGCATTGATTCAGTCTCTCCACCTGAATCTCTACACAGCAGCCTGCAACAAAAACCACACAGGTCAGATTCCACTATTAGTCCAACACCAATACTTTAACTACACTAACATTAAATGTGTTTAATAAGACCAGACCTAAAAAGAGTTCTTCCTCCTGCTTCTCCAAAGATAACGGGCGTATGAGGTGGAACCTGGAAATATCCATTTCCTTTCTGGACCCTGTTCTCCTGCTCTCCGTTCACTGTGGACACATGAACACAAAGCTGTAACAAAAGCAGCAAGCAAACATGCAGCAAAGCATAAAAACTATTTTGGTACTGAGTCTCCTTACCGTGGTTCACCTCGTTCTCTTCCTCATCCATGGGGTTGATGCGAGTTCTGGGCCAGAACTCCAGCAGAGCTTGGAGCAACAATCCACCCAGGTTCACTGTGAACAGAAGTGACCAAGATAGTGAAAGGTTACATAGATTTAAAGCTGTACTATTTATAATGAAGTGTTCAACCATAACTAATACTGCTCAGCTTGTAGAAATGTTCTGCTGAGAAAACAGACATCCTGAAACTCACATGGATGATTGATCTGTTATCTGAGTCAAACACTCAGACAATCTCTGTTCAGGGACTGCTCAGAGCCYTTATAGCAACAGCTCTTCGCTCTATTTAATATTAAGCATGCTCATAATGTTGTAGCTGCTCATGGTAGATGAAATGTGATGACCTACACTTTGGGTCAGATCCATCAGAACTGGAAAACCCTGCATCTTTTGCAGACACCCAGGCGGCAAAGCAGTCACTCTCATCCAAAGTGATGGTGAGCATCTATTAGGATTGAAAGGGAACAAAACAAAACAAAAAAAAATCAAAGCATCAACCAGAATAACATCATTCACATGAAGGCAAATGAAAAGCCCCCYTTGTAGCAGATCTAAAACTCACCCCAGTTTTCAGATCAACAGAAAACCAGTTTGGCACATAGACCATTTTGAAGCGCTTTTTAATTTCTTCATCAAACTCCACTTTTCCTAAGTCTTCACCCTTGCAAGCCTAGAAGTAAATAAWCATGTGGTCAGTTTAAACTACATATATCAATAGTACAAGTGATGTTTTCTTAAATTTGAGTCATAATTAGCCTGTTAAGATAAAAACAAATAACTATAACCACATTCCCTGTTGATCTTAAAAATAATACTACTACTTCTGAGTGAAAGCACTTCTCTACAAAGTCCAAAATAAAATAGATGTATTTACAATTATAAAACAAAGTCCTTTAAATATTGCACGGACAACACTGGATCACCTTTAATACATCCCAAAATGCCACGTTGTTGTTAGTGTCTTTGGTGAGGATGTGCCTCTTGTCATTTAGAATGTGGCACTGTATAATACTGGCACCTCCTGCAAAAAAACAGTTTTATTTTATTTCATGAAATACCAAGAAAAAAACAAACCATTTACAATAAATGAATGAAAATCACAAGTTTACCCTTGATGACTTGTTCTGGCTGAGTACAGAGTGGAGTCAGAGGTGTACTGCAGTCATTGTCGTACTCCCCTGATGATCTGAAGTTGTGCATTCCCTTTAGAGACTACACAAACACATAAAAACATTTCATCTATTATCTGCCACTTCTTCCAAAGTCAAGTCGCAGGGACAGCATTCAGACACCTCTTCCCAGCAGCATTACAAGACCAGCCAAGAAACAAAGTAATGTGTTCTGGGTCTTCCCTGTGGTGTCCTCACAGGTGGACAGGTATAGAACATAGGCAGGAGTCCAGATGCCCAAACCACCTCAACTGGCTCCTCTCAATGTTTAAGGAAGAGCACAGCTACTCTGCAGAAAAAAAATCTCTTTTAACCCCCTGTATCTGAGACCCTGTTCTTTCAGTCACTACCAAGACTTTGTAGGAATGTGGATCGACCAGTAAACAGAACTTTGCCTTGCAGCTAAGCTCCCTCTTTACCAGAACAGACCAGTAGAGGGTACACAATAGAGGTGTAACACTACATCGCTCTATATCGATATATCCATTTGAATGGTTCAGGATTCAGTTATATCGAGGCAAAATGAAAGTATCGATCTATATCGTCATCATATTCWTGATGTGAATCGATATTATATYCCCATCTAACAGTGTCGTTGTGTTTGGCTATGTTCACATTGCAGGCAAATCCGACCCAAATCCGATTTTTTTGACCCATCTGACTCATATCTGATTTTTTTATGACAGTCTGAACG